TGTCTGTAATGCTAATTAAAGTAAGTAAAACCAGATAAAAGATGCATTCTTTTTTCCACTATTTTTAACAAACACCCATGCATATATTCTCTTCACATACACAAGGGAAGCCAAAACTAATATTAATAATGGTAACGGGACTCAAGTAAATTAATTCCTCACAGAAGTACATTGTTTAGTTTTAAGAGCTCATATTTTCGAAGTCTTAAATTTTGAATACCTGTTTCTATGGGGTTTTCAGTCTCCTGGTACTTTGCAGCAATTCCTGTCCACATGGCTGGTTTTACAGGCAAGCTATGAACGGCGCTGCATGGGGGCACCGCACAATGGGGAACACCAACCTCGCCAGGAACCGTTTCTGTAACTTTTCCCTGGAAAACATGCCACGCAGGCCATGTTTATTACATGTTCCAGTGTTTTACTTGATTTGTTAAGTCCCAGGTAAGATTTATTGCTTCAGCGTAAAACTTGGCAGCTTGAAGCCTGGAATCTGGGCCCAAGTCCCTCCTCACCACAGCTCCCATGGAGCCAGTGGCGGGCACAAGCCCTGCCTGCCACATCCATGGCCCTTCCCAGATGGCTCCATATCTGCCTCCTGCTTTCTGCAGGCCAACAAGGACTTGCCCCCAGCCAGTTGAGGCCACAGCCGCCTGACCCATGACAGGCAGCTGGGTTTTGCAGCCTTTGGGTTACACGTGGGCTCCATCCACCAGCAATCCTGCAGGGAGGTGGGTAGCGCCAAACATGGGTCACGAAGATGTCAGGGGCCTCATTCCCAAACTGAGCTGAGATGAAGGAGGATGTGTGCCACAGCCCATGTTTTGAGGATCCTTTCTGCAGAGCACATATTACTCATCAGCCCTTCCCCTGTGCTGCTTGTGTGCCGACACAACAGCCTGCCTCTGCCAACCATGCCTCCGCCAGCCCCAACCATTCTTTACACCTCACCTTTTAAGGGCATTTGGGAATGAAAAAAGTAAAAATACAAAAGAAATAATAAAAATAACCCAACAACATCGAAGAGCCACCTCTCCTGCCATCCCCAGCCTCCCTGCCCCCTCCAATGTGCACTCTTTGTAATGGTCTCATCTACAAGGACGATTGAAACTTTATAGTGCATGATTCATCGTGCGGGGCTGCGCTCAGAGCCACGGTGCGTATTACATTAATCAGTGTCAGGCTACTAAAACAGAGATATGAATATGAATTCTCCATATTGCAGGGGAGATAAATGTGCTTGTGAATAATTGATCGGTGCCCATGAAAAAAAAAAAAAAAGAGAGAGAAAAAAGAATAAAAAAGGCGGGGGGGTGGGAGAAAGACGAAAAGAAGAGGAAAACATGGTCATACAATGAAAGAAGCTCCCGGGAGAGGAAAGGAGCCCCACGGTGAGGGCTGGGGCCAATGCAGGATCCCCCCCTCCCCAGCCCAGCTCCTGCTGGCTGCAGGGTGGCACAAGGGGTGGAGGGGCTGGCATGACACAAACCCAGCTAGAGCAACAAGAAGGGATGACAAGAGCCAGCAACACAGCAATCATAGGAACGAGCCTGTTCAAGCAACACACACCTACTAATTTTCTTGTTCACTTTCTCCGGGGGTACTTTTTTCTCTTTCCCTTGATAAAAAATAGCCTTTTTTTTTTTTCAGGATAAAATAAAAAAAAAGAATAAAAAATGAGGCCTGCATACCAATGAGCACATTTCATAACTACGTCGCTGTGACAAAGCCAAATCCCCGTGAAGCTTTCAGTGCATTCTGGCAACTGTTAATTTTGGAGTTTGCTTGAACTCGAGATTATATCAACTTTCCAGTGTTCTTTCTGCAGAGATTTCTGCCATTCCTCTGTTAATGCTAAGTAAATAATAACAGGAGCAAGACAGGGAGGCAGCTTTTACTGCGGGAGGATGGAGGATTATGCAAACATGTATGAAAAATATTCTCTGCCACCCTCTTAAACAGCATGAAAATGTATCTTGGGCGGTCGATTGTTGCTCTAAAAGAAGTATTGCTCTATGTAGCTCCCACCCGATTCAATGCAAATTTCCCTATTGGCTTTATTTATCAGGTTTGGGTACTGCCATCGCTTAAAAAAAAAAAAAAAAAAAAAAAAAATAGTAGAAAACTAGGACTTTCCAATTACTCTTATCAGCTCGAAGCATTCCAAATTAAGGCAAATCCTTTAGCTTACGCTTCCCCTTTATTATTCTCCAAAGGCGTTGGTATTTGCTGGTATACATCTGCTAGGGTGGATCTCGATGAAAACGGAAAATATGACAGAAAAACTACAAATTATTTTCCTGCCAGGGTGACGCAAGCGATCATTCCTAGCAGTGCTCACGTGACGAGAGAAACCGAGGAAATATGGAAGCTCCCCTCTCCTTCCCAAAACCGGCACGGGGGGCGCATCCCGCCAGGCCACCGGCCCTGGCCCCTCACTCCGCGGCTCACCGACAGCCCGCGAGGGAGGCCTCCGTGCCACAGAGCAATGCCCGCTCCAACTGAAACCTCCTCCGGGAGAAATGGCCCCCTCGGGGGGAAGTGACAGCCTTCGGCGCTGCTGGGCGCCCGGCGCGCACCCATATGCGGTCTGTTCTCACTTCTCAGATGGCCTCGCTGCCTTTCGGCTTTGCCGCTTCTGGGAGTGAGACACTTTGCGCTCCTGCCCAGAAAGTTTGGAAGTGGCGCAAGCACCTTCCAAGCACTCAGCCTCGGCACCGGGCTCTCCTCGGGCCGACCCGCGGCTTCGCCTGCTGCAAGGGAGCCGGAAGCCTCGTCCCGTTACCGGTCGCGAAGGGGAACGGTGGTAGGGAGCGCGGGGCTTCCCTCACCCCCGCCGTAACCCCCGCAGCTGGCTGGAGAGGAGGAAGCATCACAACTGCTGGTGGTGAGGGGGGAAAGGAGGGTGGGGAATTCAAGCAAGCAGATTAATAATAATAATAATAAATAATAATAATAATAAAATATCCCCCGCCCCGGCTGAGCAGAGCCCCTGGCCAGGGGATGTCTCCGCCCGCAGCCCACAGAGGGCGCTGTGAGCTTGCCCAAAGCCGGCCAGCGCCCAGCCGCTCGGCTGCGATCGGAACCGTTCGGCTCCGCTCGGAACCGTTCGGCTCGGCTGAGCGCCGGCCGTCGCCGGTGGATAGGGAGCTGTAGCGCTCACACCTGAGCAGACACACCCGCGCACAGCACGATTCTGCGCTCTTCGCAGCTAAAGTCCCTTCTGACGTTAATAGGCCGCAAAGTAATCCACTCTCCTCCCCGCCCCAACCGACTTGGCACCGCTGCGTCCGCTCCGCCTCGCAGAGCATCACTGCGCGCTTTTTACGCGCCGTCTCCACTGCAGAGCCGTGCACGAGGAGAGGGGCTGGGACCGAAGGGTTGCTGTGGCCGGCTATACCGCCCGTCAGGAGTTTGAGAGCCAGGCCTGAGGGGGACGAGGGGCAGCCGGTGCGGGGCTGCAGCCATGTCCCTTTGATTAGCAGGAAAGAGAAAGCAACTCCATCAGGTTCACACCAGTGCTGTTTAGCTTCACTGGCGTGAAGTCTTTTTTGTTCACCAGCACCACATTTTTTTTTCTATCATTAAAAAAATAAATAAAAAAAAAAACAACCCAAAAGTCTTCCCTCTCCTCACTGAAAGCTAAGTTACTATGGTTTGGTTAAAACTGTAATACACTGTTTTGTTGGAACCGTTACCAAGGCGGGACTGCCCGTGATTTAGGAAAAACAAACCAACTGAAGCCAGAAAACAAACGAATTGGTGCTACGCTGGGAGCCGCAGGATGTCAAAATGAACCTCTTCTCAGAGACAGCCCTTCAGATATCCCGCACAAAATCTATTTCGTCTGATCTGTTTCTCTGATCCATTTGGAAAACGCCAAAAGTAGACGCCTATCGCCTTCGCTACTTTGTCAACAGATCTCTAAGAGATAGTTCACCGAGCCCCCTCTTTGCCTGCCATGATTTAGCAGCTAAATCAAGATCAATATTCTGATCTGTGACACGAATTTTATTAACATTCTATTTGAAAATTTCATCTTGCTTCCGACAAGTCCTGGTTTGAGATTGGTTCAGTTTGGATAGGGCGTCACCACATTATTTCTTAATGACTTTCCCAGCTGCTTCTTTCCATTTTCCACCATCAGCAACCATCTGGTATCTTATTAGCACCTCAATGCTCATTTAGTGTTCTCATTTAGGAGAAAAAAGAAGTAAACACTCAAAATATTACACATTTTAACGGACCGTCTTTGGAAGATTAATGCCTTTATAAACCGATAGATCGTCTCTCTCAGTCTCTGTTTAACCAACAGATCGGGATATCGGGACTTTCTTCTGGGAAGTGCGAGAGCTGCCATGGGGCTTTCTTTGTTTGTTTGTGGGTTTGGGTTTTTTTTGGTTTTGTTTTTTTTTTTTTTCCTGCTAAGATTGTGCTTAGTCTCACAGGGAAAAATCTTTCGCAGTCATATTTCCTCTGTGTTTATTTAAACGTAAATCGTTACAAAGAATTCTGTTTCCTAAGCTATCAGTTTTTCTCCCCGGCTTCCGTCGCAATGTGTACCAAAGCGTGAAGGCTCTTGATCCAGTTTAGGAACCGCTTTGGACAGCAAAGTTTTACACTTGGGAGCAGAGAGAAAACTCGTCCCTCTCATTTTCAAGAATGTATTTTATAACGTAAATGGATATCAGATCTATTTATGATCCCAAAATGGATACCACAGAACATGTCTGATGCGTTACAACTGAAAAAATTACTTTAATTGTACTATTCAAGAGCCAGCTTCACTCAGCTTCTGAAATTTACGTGTATGAAAAGGGAATCTCGCAGCTTCTTTCCATCAAAATAGCTGCAAGAGTCGTTAAAACCTTGGATTTGGTATTTTAAGTTTCAGTTAACCAAAGGCAAAAAGATGACTTTTTATAAACAAATTATAAATGTTTGAATAGATTTGTAATACATGTATAAGATCTGTAGCAACAGAATGCATACCTGAAGAGAGCTCATAATTTCATTTAGTTTATTAGACAAAAATATATGATTTAGACAAGTTTTGCTGACGCGTTATTTACAATCTGAAATCACTCTATATACAGAAAAAACACAAACACATGGGAACATTTACCAAACAAATAATCCAAGAATGGTTAGAATAACACGATCTGGAATGGTACAATGAAGAAAGGGATCCATCTACAGATTTGTGTAATCGCTTTTATGGATTTGCACCACCTTATTGCAAAAAGAGATTGATGGGAGTCCTTTATATCGTTTCCTCTTTTATTTCTTTTTTTTTTTCTTTCTTTCTTTTTTTTTTAACTGTCCTTAATACCAGTCTCTGTAATATTTTTTTTCACCAAACCATTTAATCAAGCTGAAGGGAGAGCTGTTAAAATTCTCGGTGTTCCCTCTTGCTGAGCCAAAGAGCTGCGGGGAGGGGAGGAAGGGAGAAAAAAAAAATAAAAAAAAAAAAAAATGACGTAACAATCTTTCAGGGAAAAAAAAGAGAGAATCCTTTCCTACAATTGCCTATCTATTGCTATAGCATCCTAGTATTAGTTAACTGCACGGAAATCATTGTCACTGGTGTAATTAACACAAGCTCTTTGAGGTCTGTTAAGTTTCAGAGAAGTTACAGGCTGGCTATGTACAATTGCAATTTAGCCTAACTTTGAAAAGATTACAGCAAGTTCTGCGTTGTTCTTATTGTCTGTGTGTATTATTAAGGTGATGATTAGGTTTCAAAATTAGTCTTTATTATTCAAACACTCTGTTTCACATAAGTAACATTCCTGCAGTGAAAACAAACAAACAAACTCACTTGTCACGGACAGGCTGGAAGGGCGATTTTAGCGGCTGAGGTGGGGACTCAGTTCTTGGTACATTTTCTCTTTCTAGAAGGAGACAGAAGGGAAAAAAATGGGAGAGGGAAAAAAAAAAAAAAAAAGAACCATTTTAGAATAAGAATAGTAAAAATCCGGACAGTGTGCAGAGAGCACACCTCCCTTTCACCCTCTTGTTCAGACGTGTGTATGTATATGTATATGTATGTGTGTGTGCGTACAGCATTATCCCCTACTTCCAATATTTAAGAAGTACACAAGCTTTCCTTGTCGTATTTTTGAATGTCCTTGAAATTACTGGGAGATGGAGATCAGGAAGAAGGAGGTAAGGAAAGCAAAACTCAAAGAATATGCAAGCACTCTCATCTTACTTGATGGGCATATACAGTGAGAATGTAATAGCCCATATGAAATGGGCTTAATGTGTGTGATCAACATGCTCCAGGAAAAGAAATAAATATATAGATGTAAATCAAAGCTAGGGTACACTGTCTGTTACTCCATTAAAAGAATCAGTTATAACAAGGCTGAATCTGACACCATTCCTCAAGGAGAAGTTCATGTGCGTGTGTTGGGGGTGGAGGGAGAGGTGGATGCCTGGTGCGTTCATTACCTATGTGTTTGGGACTGGTCCTCTCCGAAGGTTTTTCACTGCTTAGGGCTCCCAAGGTTGCTGTTAAAACAGAAGATTGTTGCTGGGCCTGGAGGTGGTGATTGTGATGAGCAGTGTGGTGGTGATTTACTCCCAAAAAGGACCTCACATTGAGCAGGGAACTCTGAGTGAGGAAAGCCCCATTTGTCCAGTTGTGAAATTTGCCAATCTGACATGTGTAGAGTCCATGGCTGGGGAGAAAAGCGGGGTGCTGGATCTGTGGAGAAGTGTGGTTAACCTGTGGAGGAGGTGGTGGTGGAGGAGAAGATTTCAGGGCCCCATCGGGACTGGTTGCTGTCTCTGCCAAAGACCAAATCTTGGGTTTGCTGTGAGGTGGCATCTGTAGGTTGTTCTGTCCCCCGGGACTGATGATTTGCGTACTGTTGTCAGAGGCCTCCTTCACCATGGCCAGTGCGTCTTTGGGTTTCAGCCCTTCAGACCCCGACAGTGCCAAATCCTTCTCCTTTTCCAAGTGCTCCTCTTCACTGCTTTGTCTCAGGAGATCGGGCTTCTCCTCCTCTTCCTCGTTGCTTTGCTCCCCATCGTTCTCGTCGATTTTATCTATATCTATGCTCTCCAGGTCGATTTCCTCATCATCTTCGTTCTTCTCGGGGTCCCCCTCATTGTCACTCCCGAAGAGGTTTGCATCTTCTTGGTCCTTACTCCTCGAGCCCCAGGTCACCTTGTTCTCCTTCTTGAGCCGCCGACGGGCGTTGGCGAACCAGGTGGAGACCTGGGTGAGGGTCATCTTCGTGATAATGGCCAGCATGATCTTCTCGCCTTTGGTGGGGTAGGGGTTCTTACGGTGCTCGTTGAGCCAGGCCTTGAGGGTGCTGGTGCTTTCCCGGGTGGCGTTTTTGGGCCTCCCCGGATCGCCGTACTGGAACTGTCCATAGGGATAATAGCCGGGGGCAGTGTGAGCAGCAAAGGTAGCAGGGTGGACACCCGGATTATCTTTCAGCTCGTACTGGGAGCCCTGCAACATATTCAGACAAGCGGAGAGGAAAAAGCACATCAATTATCTCGTTAACGTCTCTAACAGACCTAAATAGGATACTCCGGGAGTCGAAATACGCCTTGGAACGGTGCAAAGGGTTTTCCCAGGCAAATTCGTCCCTCCCCGCTCCAGGCTCTTCACGTTTAGATCAGACAGAGGTATTCCCAAATGGTCTCCCCCCACCTCTTCTCTCAGGGAAAGGAAAAGAGAGGGGCTAAACTGGGCTCTGCCAGGCACTATGCATATTTTCTCCGCAAACCAAATAAAATCAAACTATGGAAAGGCAGCAACTTCACATTCGCCTCTGCGAAACAATTTATTGTACCCTCGAAATTAGCATGCTGAGAAAGCAGGTACTGCACCCCAGTTACAAACTACTGCCCGCGCACAGCGTCGCATTTGTCTGAAAAAAAAAAAAAAAAATATCCCGGAGGATATTACAGATGCACGCAGAGTGTTCTTTTTTGGCCCCAGATCTGCCTTTAAAAGGAGTTGGCGTGAGGCGAGGCTAGGGAGAAGAATGTGCAACTTCAGGAGGAAGGCACTTATAATGTAAGAGATTTTCCACACACAAACCAACTCCCCCTAACCCTCCCCTCTCCAAATCATACACTAAGATTCTGGTGTAAAACATTAACTTCTAACTCTTAGAAAAGCGTTTAAACTCTGGAATGAAAACTGACCCACGCGTTTTAGAATATGGATATGCAGACACTTAATCGCCTAAATTTTACTTTGATCTTGGCAGAGCAAACACGAATTGTTTACAAGCATTGAGACGGTGATTTATTTGCAATCAATATTCTTTTTATCATCAGTAGTAAAACACAGCAAGTCAAATTATCCCATCAGGTGTTTTGGTAAATAACATTTTATCTTTCTAGCAACCTCATTAGGCCTCATTATTACCGCAAATTGAACAGATATTAACAATATTTTACCACTTAAATTACAAATGCTCAGAATTGTAGAATTTCAAAATATCATCGTCATGGCAAATCACTGTGGTAAAATACCAGGAGACTTTGCAAGTAGGAAAGGGAACTGATCCAAAATAGCTAACGTTTAAAGCCGTTTTGGGGTTGTTTTTTTTTTCTTCCTTCTAGTACAATCTCTCTTTTTTCTTTTTTTTTTTCCTTTCCTAGCCCAGAAATACATTCTTAGTATTGATCCTGCGAAATTCGTGTCAGCCTTAAAAATGAACCTTTTCACAAATGTCTGAGACGAAACTGATTTAACTTTGTCAAACAGTTGAAAAGAAGCATGTATTTTAATTCTAGAGGCGAAGATTACACACAAAGAGAAGCCCTATGCGATTTTGGTAATGTGTTACAGAGTGGGGTTTCTGCATTCCCTTTATTCCGCTGTCTTTTGTTATTGTTGCTGAAATGATATTTTTTGTGTAACCTCTTTTGGGAATTCTTTTGAAGAAACCACTTGTAAATCACTCACTGACTCTGTCTCAGCTTTGACTGCATTTCCAAAATCAAGGTTAAAAAAGTAGGAAACGCAAGCTGCTCAAAGTGCCTTCGCGGGAAATGTTTGCAGCACAAAATGGTCTGCTTTCAAATGTTGACCCTTGCTCAGCAGTGTATCTACCTGCTCCCCAACATATATTTATTAAAACCCCTCACAAGTTATGTCTTGCATGCACCCACTTGCTAATGTTCACACTTTTATGATTCGGAGGGGAGAGAAAAGAGGGTGATTTAGAAACTAGAGTGGAACCTAAGCGTACCGACGCCGGGAAATTTGGGAGAGTCAAGCAACGGAAACGTTTCAACGACACCAGAAATAAAAACAGTTAAAAAACACAGATGTTTCATTTTGTAACTATTACATTCTAAAGAAAAGGGAGGGAGGGGAGAGGGAAGACATCGGAGGACAATCTGGGAGAGGGCAATTTGGGTTAGAGTTAACACCAGTGTACCTTTCTGCTCCGACGCAGATATTGGGGTGTAGATGCCCTCCTTCGCCTGATGCAAATCCCGTCTATGATACTCGCCGTAATCAGAGTACGAAAAGTTCAGGAAACAGAAACAGGCCATTTATAAAGCTTAAGGAAAATGTCTTGAAATAAGCGGGGGGACCCAGCTACAGACACTGCACTTTGGCCTTTGTGACGAAACCTGTTCATAGATCGGCGGCAGAGAAAAGGACGAGGCGGAAAGAGGAGCGCTCTGGAAAGCCAGCTGCAACAACGGGACCGTCAACACCAGCGCCAATAACGACAAGGAGGGGGGAAAATACCGAGTTGCTGGGGAAAGCTGACATCACGGACGCAGGAGCCCTGCTCAGCCCTTTCACCGCCAGAATTAAAACTCGGAGGAGTTTTGCCCGGCTGGAGAGACGGGGAGGAGGAGGCTGCGCCTGCGGACGGAGCCCGCTGCCCCGGTCCCGGCCCCTCTCCCTAGCATTCCCACCGGCGCCCTCGTTCCCCTCTCCGCGGTGGACCCCGAGCAGGGCGGAAGCCGCTACCGCGGCAGGGCTGCCCGCCGCCCTGCGCCCCGGCCCCGCGGCCTCCTCCCACCCCGGCCCCTCTGTCTGCGCGCTCCGCGGGAGCGGGAAGAAGCGCGGTGCTCGCTCACAGTCACTCACCATTTGGGAGAAGAGGCCGAGGTCGGCGGTGTAGGGCAGGAAGGCGCTGTAGTTGGGGGCGCTGTAGGGGCTGGCGTACATACCCAGCACCGATGTGACAGCGGCCGAGCCGCTGCCCAGATCGGCGCCCGCGGGCCGGCCCGAGGCGGCTGCGGCGGCGGCGGCGGCTGCTGCGGCGGCGGCCAGTACCCCGGGCCGGTCGCTCCCGTACACCGCCTGGCTGGCGCTGAGGTACTGCGGGTAGCCCAGCTGGGGGAAGGACATCTCCGGGGCGCGGGCACAGCGGCAGCGGCACTGGCGGCGGCGGCAGAAGCGGCAGAAATATGGAAAAAAATGGGGGGAGGGAGGGGGAGGAATTACAAAAAAAAAAAAAAAAAAAGCGAAGGGGAGGAGGGAGCCTGAACAGCCGGGGAGGGGAGCGGAGCAAACCCGGGCTTCTCTGGATCTCTCTCTTTTTTCCTCCCCCCCCTCCCCTCTCTTTACTGGAGTCAGGCAGGGCGAGAGAATAAAAATCGAGCCGATAATTTTCTTTTTTCGTTCTGATTTCTTTCTGTCAGAGATATATTGCAACCTAGGGATGGAGGAGGAGTGTGGAAGGATTCAGTGGGGTGTCTTTCCTCAAATCTCGGCTCTTCTGTGCTCCTAAATCCCTTAGATGTGATCTGATCAACAATTGAGCTCCAACTGATGTGTCTGCCCTTAGGTCCTAGGCTGATCTTTCAGATACAATTTGAAGTTGATGTTTTGATTGGCACCCACTTGAGCTGCAAGCACCGCCCCGCTCCCCCCTCTCCCGCCCCCCCTGGGTGCAGCACGTGGTGCACAGCCGAGCCTGGGCCACTTTCCTCCGTGCCTGCGTGTGCGTGTGTGTGCGTGTGTGCGCGTGTGTCCGCGCAGCTGCTGTGCTGTGCTGTGTGTGTATTTAATGTTTAGCAATGGGCTCCTTTCAGAAAAGCCCCCACTGCTGTATGACAACCTGTCTACACGATTTTACAGCTGTCCAACATTGGGGTTTTGCTGTTTCGCAGCCTTAGTGTGTCCCCTTTTAACAAAAACAACTGTGTTGCTGGCTTGTTTTGTTTTTGGGTTTGGTTGTGTTTTGTTGTGTTTTTTTTTTTTTCTTTTTCCACCTTTAACATTGAGTCCCCCTTGTCGTCGTTGGACTCTGGAACAAACGAGAGTGGCCGGGAGAGAAAAAGGCGGTTTTGCAGCCAGGCAATTTGTAACAATTTACCACTTTAAAAAAAAAAGAAAAAAAAAGAAAAGAAAAGGTAAATAAAGAAATACAGAAACTGTGTCTTATCTATGTACAGCAACCCACAAACGCCACACACAAGCGAACCCACACACAACTTCGCTGAAACTCATGAGGCTCATTCCTGGCAGTTCTTCCCAAAAGAATCTTTACTTAAAAAAAAAAAAAGGGGGGGGGAGGAAGGATTCGCAGCTACCTTCCTTCCCCCCTTTTCCCTAACACAACCCCCCCTCCCCCCTTCTCCTCATGCCCTGCCGACAGATTGACACTCAGGGACAATTATCAGAGGCATCGCGACAGTCTCGGAATATTAACAATAAATAATCCCGCAAATCAACAGCGGCGACATGTATGCCCCGAGCTGGAGTGAGGCTGAACTGAGTGGCTTCTAGATTGTCAAAACTTTCATCCCCTCGTGACAGCGGGGACCAAAGGAAACGCGGGGTCGCAGAGTGGGGGGCGGACAGGTAGGGGGACCACCAAAACGATCTGTTGCCATTATTATCGTTAAGAGCAATAATCAGAGGGAGGGATTTTTTGACCTTTCTTCTTCCCCTTTTCCCCTTGGAGTGGGGTGGAAGGTGCAGCGGGAGACAAAGGACTCTTCGGCGACGGTCCGAAGGACTCGGCCGCCTCGAAGGAGAGGAGTCGTCACCACTGTAACCCGACCGCTGTGTTGGCCGCTTCTCCGACGTGGAGAAGCCCGTACCTCGCCGGAGCTGGCAGAGCCTCGCCACCGCCCGGCCCGCACCGCAAACTTTCGTTTCCCTACGGCTGTCGGGGCCTTCCCAGATTCCCACTTCCCCTCTCCCCCCCCCCCCCATGTGGGGGAAACAGCTAGCCCGGAGCTGGGGGTTTCGTGCCCCGACTTTCCCAGCCCCTGGGGGCAGCTCTGCCCCACGGTCCGGCCCCAGGGGAACGGCCCCGCCGAGGGGACCGGAGCGGCCTCCCCCAGTCCAGCCCAGCGCTCGCCGCCGCGGTCCCCGCCGACCAGGAGCTCCGTCTTTGTGCTGAAGGGGCGGTCGGGGCCCCCGAGTTCCTCCTCTAGGGACGGCGCGGCGCGGCATGAAAGGGGCCGCAGACGCGAAGGCCTGCTGCTTTTCGGGGTGCGAGTGTGTGGTGGGGGACGGAGAAGGGAGGGAAGAAAGCGGGGGGGGGGGGGGAGGGCACGGGTGTCTCTCCTTTTTCCTAGCCCAGGGCGACAGCCACCTCCTAAGGTCCACGGGACTTCGCGCCCCCTCTCTGCGCTTGCAGCCACGGGTCCAGCCGGACACCACGGGTCCCCCCGGGGACTGGCCGCCACGGGAGCGGGAGGAGATGCCTCCCTGCCTGCGAACGCCCCTAAGCCCAGCCAGCCCTCCCAGCCCCGCACTCAGGGGAATCGCTCCGTCTCAGAGAGTTGGTTGAACTTCCCTCCCCTATCAGTTGGAAGCAGCGAGCTTTCCCTTTCCTATGTCTAAGAAGGAGAGGAGGATCTTCTGCCCCCTTACACCCCCGCTCCAAAATCTCACCCTCAAAGCAGGAGAACGACTCTCAGACAAAAACGCACCGCCGTGACAAAGCTGAGTGGGGCTTGAAAATTGCTGCGGTATTTTGCGAATGGAAGTGTCACATTACAAGGGCTGCAGGTAAATAAAGGTGGGATAAGACACCGACGCTGCCGAAATCTTCTTAGCGCTTTAGATCTGAGTGGAATGTGTATCCAGAAAAGGTTTCCACTTGGAGGCTTAAGAAATGTGATTCATCCCCTCCCCCATCCCGCTCAGATCAGTTCAGGGAGGGAGGGGGAAGAAAGGAAAGAAAGAAAGGGAGAAAAAAAAAAAGAAAAGAAAAGAAAACTCTCACTTGCTTTTCTATCTGCCCAGCATCTTTTCGGGGCGAACTTTGCTATTCTTCACCTTGTATGGAAATAGAGCAAATAAATGCAAAGTACACGTTACTTGCAATGGTGATTTGAAGCGGGGGAGAGGAGAGGAAGGAAGGAATAAAAAAAAGGGGGGGGGGAATAGGAAGAAAAAAGGAAAGGAAAGAAAAAGGAAAAAAGAAAAAAAAAGAAAGAAAAGAGAAGAAAAGAAAAAAAGAAAAGAAAAGAAAAGAAAAGAAAAGAAAAGAAAAGAAAAGAAAAGAAAAGAAAAGAAAAGAAAAGAAAAGAAAAGAGAAAAGGAAAAGAAAAGAAAAGAAAAGAAAAGAAAAGAAAAGAAAAGAAAAGAAAAGAAAAGAAAAGAAAAGAAAAGAAAAGAAAAGAAAAGAAAAGAAAAGAAAAAGAAGAAAGGAAAAGAAAAGCCACCGAGGAGGGGCAAAGTTGCAAGACTGGGAGGAGAGCTTTGTTCCTCATCTGCAAAGTTCCCGGCACAAGGATGAGCAGGGTCCTGTGAACGCCATTAATTATGCACAGTTCTGATCAGTAAATGCCAATCCCTTACCACGCGATTCCTGCTCCTGCGTTGGACATTGCCCATTTTTCTGATGGTTTATTAAGTCACTTCAGTAGGCAACCTTTCAAAGCCCCTTTTAATTTCCACACACATACACACACACACACCCTCCCCCCCCCCCCACCTTGTGCAAGTAAGCTGGGACCAGAGCTGCTACACTAAGCTACTTAGCTTGAAAATCAGTTTAGTGAAGGTCTGGGAGATTCTGGGTTTATTTCCCCCATACAAGACCTATAGCAGGAGCTTAATAACAAAAGTGCGAAAAGAACGAAACTGTACGGAAAATTACAAACATCAGCAGCAGCTGCCAGAAGCACCAGGAAAATCTTTCCCTAAACCCAAGACCTAAACAGTCAAAAAGGTTGGTGTGATCAGACCCATTATCCGTAAATTAGCTTGAAATTGTTAAGAGATGGAACAAACTAGTGTTGTATTTTTTTTTTTTTTGAGGTAATTTTAACCATAAGGCAGTGAAAAAATATTTTTATTCCTTTCTCCCCCCCCCCATCTTTAGTTGCTTGAATATCTCCTTAACTTTCGGAAAAAACTAACAAAATGAGTGCGGTGCCAACTCATTAGCCGAACGACGTTTTAAAAGAAAATAAACTGTCACGTAGTAAAAAAGGGTTTGGGCTCAGGGTGAAAAGCAGAGCCATCTTCCCGATGGAAAGCGGATGCACATCTTAAAACAGGAGGGAGAGGAATCTATAGCAGCGTCGGGTATAACGTGATTATACCTAAGGTAATCGCTTAAAATAAATTGTATACTGTTTAAAGTAAATCAACCTAAATGGCCAAGCTCCTATAATTCGAAGATCATTGGCCGTATCAACTCCTCCTTTCTTTGAGGAGTTTGCTAAGACGTCCAGTTTTCTTAGGGCAAGGCGTCCACCGCCAAGAGATTTTCTCTTTATTATTAACAAATCAGTTTAGATAGGGGTCCGATAAGAAATGCAAATCCAGACATAGGGGTCGCTGCTTGGCCGAATTTTAACTGAAGGCTGGTTCTGCAGGAGCTGACTGAAGGGTCTGCCTGCGAAGTGGATATGTGAAGCTTTAACACTGACTCTACTAAAAAAATGAAGTCAGTGATTTTGATCTGCTCCAGATGTCCTAAGAGTGGATATTGCAGTGCTGGGAATCCGCACCAAATATCTGAGGGCACTGATGGTAATCAGCGGAACACATCAGCCAGGGGGGACTGGCAATTGTGATAACCTGCTGCAAATGTGCAGGGCTGGAGATGGCAGTGATAAACCGCTGAAAGTATCTTCAGATGGAGATGACAGAGATGTTGAAAGGAGACACCTAACTATGGGGAGAATGGGATAATAAGCAGAGCACAGGCTGAGAGTGGAGTTCACATATTTACTAGTCTACGGTTCATCCGTGTAATTGCCACGGAGATACGTGCTTTTGCGCGGCGCCCCTGCATGCAAACGCGCGTGTATGGACCTGCTAGTCAGATTCGGGGGTTATGCAGCATTGATAAAAATATCTACCGAAAGAGAGGGCGGCTTAATGACTAAAGCACCTTGTTTGTAGCTTGGGAAGTAAAGTTTTAATCTAATTCTGTAACTGCTTTGAGGCATCCTGGTAACGACTTCTTTTGCAAATCCTCTCCTGATTTTCAGCTCTCACCGGTAACAGACGACGAAATTTAAGATGAGCTCTTCAGTTAATAGTCTGTTTCAATTTTCTTTCCTGTGGAAAGAATGTGCAGGGGATGCAGTGGAGAAGAGTGACAAAAAATAGATTATCCGTATGTTGCTAATTTTCTGGCTGTTCTCAGCAGGTAGTTTCACTGCTTTTTATTTATTCCCCCCCCCCCCCCTTTCCCTGTCATTTTTTAATGTGTAAGTTTAAAATAACCCTACCATGTTAAGTATCAATCCTATACATTTTAATGATACATCTGTGTGGGACTGAATCCATTAATTTAATACATCTCGCCTAGGTTCTAATTATTCACTGACTGTCGACTATTTGGATCAGTTGACTGAGTTTTCATTAAGTGTATTATATCTGATGTGGCAACGGGCCGTGTTTCATTTTGAAGACACGTAGTTTTTGGGGGGTGCAGGACCT